GCTCACCTCTCGCTCTGTGCTTCGGTTTTAACCCAGTATCTCAAGGTACTAAGGGCGTCCGACCTTCCGACTTGTGGTTGTGTCGAAAACCTCAATTTTTGGACCGCCTTCCTGGGGTTATCCGGGAGGGCAAAAAGATGGCTGTAGCGATGTTTAATCGTACAACTGCAGTAGTAGAATGTGTTTAGGATAACAGTTGTCATTCAGAATTCATTTATGAGGTGAGCGTCGTAAAAAAGGGATAGTAGCGAATAATAAAAATACTGAGTGGTTCTACATTGCACTTTCACTAATACTTCTTTAGTTTATTATTATTATCTTTTTTACTTCTTTACTTTCATTCCACATTCATTTGTACCTCTTGTACAGGCAACCGTCTCTAAAAGCACTGAGTGCCTACGAATCCTCAAATCAGCGTTAAAGGCTTTCGTAAAAGCGATGGAAGCTGAATGCATGTGTATAAAATTGAACCTTAAGCTTCAAAAAGAAAGAATCGTCTGCAAATCTACCTAACGGCAATCATAGTACTGTTTTAACTTGATTGATAATTTTGATATACACTAGAGATTCTCAAGCGCTCTCCTAACTTCTCTTCTACCTTCGAATTCTCAAAGTTTTCAAAAACATGATCCATTAAGAGATTCGGAGCTCCGAAAAATCTAATACTTAAAAAACCTGAGATTTCCTGAAAACTCAAGAAAAACAAAGTAATACTCACTTTACATGCTGGGCTGAATAGCTGGATGGATTGGACATTAAAATTGATTCAGATTTTCGAATGTCCTTCAGGTACTCAGATATTCGAGCTTTTGATGTGGGATGTTTTCAGCGAAATCTCCAACCAACTCACAATATTCCACTCAGAAGTTCAATTATATAACACCCCAAAACGAAATAAAACCAGAAATATACGTGTGTCGGCGGTTTTCTCTAAGCGCCTCTCAGCTAGTCACGCTCTTCGCAATAAACAGCAAGCAATACGGCGCGCCTGCATAGGCAGAAGTGGCCTCTCGCTCTACGGATTGGTTTTAACCCAGCATCTCAAGGTACTAAGGGCGTCCGACCTTCCACTTGTGGTTGTGTCGGAAACCTCAATTTTTGGACAGCCTTCTCGGGGAATCCGGGAAGGCAACAATCATGAAACCCCTCCTAATTAAACATATAGACTTGAAGTACGGTCATAAACACCATCCATGAACAGGGAAATAGTTCCAAAGAGATACCACCGGTAACATCCTATGTTCCAA